CTTTCATTTGGACGTACTCCTAAAAGGATGCATTCAAATCCACAAACCATGTGATATCTAGTGTTTTTTTTTCTGAAAGTAAATGAGGTCTGAAGAAGAGTGAGGGGCAGGGAAGAGAGAGGGAGTGAGAAAACGAACACAAATAAATGAAATAGATTGAAACAACCTCCTTCCACATCCCCAACTGCAACATTTGATGGAAAAATTCCAGAAGAGTTATCGGAACTTCCTGTCTTTAGAAACAACAGAATAGCGTAGAATCAGAAAACCAAGAGAAAAAAGCAGATTTTCCCTCAAGAGAGAATGTTCTACAAAAAATTGTAAAATGTGCGAGAGAAAGTTTATTTTTGACCAAGGTTGAGGGGAGAAATTTGGCCTGCAGCTGGCTGATCTTAGTGTTTTAGAGGCCACACTTATCCTGAGGAGTTTTGAGAAATCCACAGTTGCAGGGTCCAGAGCTTATTAGTTGCCACAGACACTGTTAATCTCATAGCTGAAGTTCTGAGTGGTTTGTGGTTTGAGTTGAAGAATGCTCACTTGAACACATTTTGCCCCTGACCCCTCTTCCTACATACAACTCTGTCCCAGTGGCCAAATGCCCCCCCTGCTCCTGGGGCATGAGTGCTGCCAACTTCTGGATATTCCACAAATCGCTCCAAACGGAGGTTGTGTCAGGAAACTCCAGCAGGCAAATAACTGAAGCAGCTCTGAGACAAGTTGGTGTACATGCTGGCACGGCCTGGCTCACCTGTTGTGTGATTAAGTCATGGGGTTGCTGCTTGTCCTCTTTGGGACGAGGCCAGGCAGCATGTGTTCAAGTGAAAAATAAGGCTCTGTGTGCGCGCGGTGTGACTGTATCAATAGAAACGGGCAAACAGATTCCGGAGGAAGAAAAGAATGAGAAAGTGGGCGGTGGGATGATCCTGCAGCTGTGTTGAAAGGTGTCTTAGTCAAGGATGGCTTGGTGGTAAGAAAGAAAAGCGTACTCTACTTGAGTAAAGAGAGATTTGTCAGATGGCGTCAGGAGCCCAGCTGAAGGCAGTAGAGGCTGACACAATGGGAGCTGGGACGCTGTCTCGGGTTCCTCGTGCTGCAGCTTCCATTCTCTCTGGGTTCCTCTGCTTTATTCCTCTCCCTCTCTGAGGACTGAGTCTTTGCAAGGCCTCCCTCCTTTCACCTGGGCCTGATGCAGATCTGGGTTGTCATGCCACCCAGGAGGGTTCTGACTCAAGGTAGTGTCATGGCTCAGGTACCCACCTATACTCGAGCAGAATCAGACTCTCTGAGGAGTTCCTCAGGCAGGTGTCTGCTCTAGGTACAGAGGGTGGGCTTCCCATAGCAAGTGGGTAAGTTCTCTGAGAGGGATGTAGAATTGGGGGTAGGAATGGTAGGTGAAGGAAATGACAGACATTTGCTGTAGGAAATTTGGCATGGGCTCTGACAGATGACAATGGGCAGGAATGGACCCTGGCCATAAACTGTAATAGAGCCAGACCCGTCCTTAAGGACTGAATATTGGTACTGGCGTGTCATATATGGGTTCTCCAAAGGGCAGCGGGTAGATTGGCTGTGGATTCCAGAGGGGATGGGAGGCAGTGTAGCCCGGAGGGGCTAAAGAGTTGCTACGTGCGTAAAAGAGTTGAGTAATTGAAGTTCCCAGTGAAAACCAGTTTGGAGGTTAGAGAACAAAGATGGCTTCTAGAGAGAGAGGTGGTCCTCGGAGAGGCTGTGGTTGGAGGGTAGTGGGTGCTGGGGTCCTCAGGTGAGGTCTGGCTTGTGGCCACTCTGGGTGTGATGCAGAAACACCATGATAAGTGTCATTCATGTACATGGTGTGAGGGGCTGGATTGTATCTCCCGAATTCGTGTGTTGAAGTCTTAACCTTCAATACCTAGAATGTAACTGCATTTGGATATGGGGTCTTTAAAGACTTAACTAAGGTTAAATGAGGTCATTAGGGTGGCTCTAATCTAGTGTGACTGGTGTCCTTCTAAGAAGAGGAGATTAGGGCACACACACAGAGGGGAGGCCATGAGAGGACCAGGGAGAAGGCGGCAGCTGCGAGCCCAGGAGAGGCCTCGGGCGAACCAGCCTTGCTGGGCTCCTTGACCTCAGTCTTCTAATCTCCAGAGCTGTGAGGAAATACATTTCTACTGATTAAGCCACACAGGCTGTGGTCCTCTGTTGTGGCCACCTGAGCAGACAAACACAGGTGGCACTGGGAGATGGTCCTGACTGGCCTAGAAGCAACACTGAGATTGAGGAGAAGGCCAGCCACACCCACCTTTGCCAGTGACTTACAGGGAGTGAGAAAAGGCAGGGGCAGGAGGAGGCTGTACTTTGCAGGGAGAGCAAGGAGGCCGAGGGAAGTGGTGAGAGAGGAGAGGTTTGTGTCCTGGAGGGCCCAGGGTAGGGTCTGGTGATAGGAGGTGATGCAAAATGAGAGCCGGGGAGGAGGGTCAAACACAGGTGGCACTGGGAGATGGTCCTGACTGGCCTAGAAGCAACACTGAGATTGAGGAGAAGGCCAGCCACACCCACCTTTGCCAGTGACTCACAGGGAGTGAGAAAAGGCAGGGGCAGGAGGAGGCTGTACTTTGCAGGGAGAGCAAGGAGGCCGAGGGAAGTGGTGAGAGAGGAGAGGTTTGTGTCCTGGAGGGCCCAGGGTAGGGTCTGGTGATAGGAGGTGATGCAAAATGAGAGCCGGGGAGGAGGGCAGGAGGTGGGGGATGTTTTGGGCATGGGGACAGGCAACAGGGTGGGAGATACTGAGCTCATCTCATGGACAGGGTGCAGATAACTGACGTCTCAGGAGCACTGGGTAGAGGTGGGACAGAGACACATTAGATAGGCAGGAAGGAGCTGGCGTCGGACTGGCAGGGGCTTGTAATTGATGGAGGAAGCAGTGAAGAGCACGTGCGTGTGTGTGCACACATATATACATACATACATACATACATACATATATACATATATACTGTTTTGCCCAAGATGAAGTCAGGGATTCTGGAACAAGGGGAATCCTAGGTCTTGTGTCAGAGTGATGCCTTACCGGGGAGCCAGGAACATGCCCAATCCAAATATGAAGGTCTGGAATTCTTTGGGGTGCTTGGACGTCACCAGATCATTAAGGCCTATGATGGTTGACTCTGCAGCTTTGGCTACCTTGGAATAAAATGAGTTTCTGATTTTGTTTATTTGTTTCTGCCAAATTACTAAAGCCTAGACTCTCTCCTGCCCTGATAATTCTGAGGCTTGGCCCTTTGAGGGCTCGTCTTTCTCAGTAGCTTGCTTTGGCAGAGGAAGGACTGTGGGAACTTTGCATACAATCTTCCAGAAGGGCAGTTGAAGGTCTGTAACTGATTCATGCAGGATTTGTTGGGGAAACGTCTTGACTGGTAGCTGGTTAAAAAAACGAGAGTGAGTATGTATGTATCTTGTGGATGTTTGCAGCATGAACTGGTATGGTGTCCTGAGTACAGCTAAGCCCCATACTTGGGGTAGATTGCATGGTGCTATGATGTAAGTGATACCATTAAAAAACAGCAATGTACCAGTAGCTTTACCTAAATGAATACCACCACCACTACCAGAATATAAGCTCCATAGGAGGATAACTATTTCTGCTATATTTCCCAGTGCCTAGATGACAGCACCTAACACATACTTATGGGTGTTCAGTAAACACTTGCAGAATGAATGAATCAGTCATGGAGTTCAAATATATTGTTAAGAAAACTTAATCACTTCCACCCTCTCCCAATCTGCCACTGCAAAAAAAACCTGGACAAGGGACCTCTGCAGAAAAATCACACAAGAGTGACAGAATGGCTAGAAAATGTTTGGCTGCACTCAAAATTGAAGAAATGCAAATTAGCATTATAATCATCAAACATGTTAAAATGAGCATATATGTTATTTTGAAATTACATTAAAAGAAGATAATACTGCTGGCATGAATGCAGTGAGAGAGTCTATCATATTTCCGGTGGGAGTGTGAGTAGATACACCTTTTATAAAAAGTCATTTGCCAATGTGTATCAATAATTGTAAAAATATTTATATGAGTTGATCCAGTAAGATTCAGCTTATAATTGACTAAACCTCAGACCAAGCCCACTTCATTATACTGTATTCCCTGTTAGAGGAAGGTAATTGAATTCCCTGTTATAGGAAGGCAATGAGCTGAAGTGTTTTTTTGAGGAGAAAATATAAGGCAAATAGAAATAAGAGCAATCTAGGAAATGTGCCTGACCACAGAACAAAATTCGTTTTTGGCTTTTTGTTTTTGTTTTCTTTCTTTTGACATACGATAAAACAACCAAAAAACCCCAGGAGACCAATTATCAATTAAGTAGTACTGTGCCCAGAGCTAAGACCGAATGATTCCCTACCATATTCTACCAGCTTGCTTTTATATGTCTCAAATTTATGCCATTAGATTGTCTTGCTTTTAAAACACTCCAGTAAGCATTTGGCTAACACTTGAAATTAAATTCCATTAATAATTTATATTCAGTTTATTACAGGGCTCCTGTAAGCTTTTGACCAAAGAACTTTCCTAGTGCCGGCTTTTGAGTGAATGCCTGGTGACCCAATATGTGCATTGTTGCATTCATTATTTTAATGCTCACAACGTGTGTTTTATTTTTTAGTAGTTTCAAAAAATAGCAGGGCCTTTAGTACTTTCAAAAAATAGTAGGACCTATAGCACATGTAACTGTGATATCACAGTGATACTTTCAATTCAGAAATAGGACTAAATATAAAATATAAATCCTTGTTATCTTAATAACTATGGCCTGTGTATATATGTGTATGTATCTGATAAGACTTGTGGAATTCATTTGTTTTTAGATTTTATTTGATGGGCAAGTAGGAATGTTTGGGAGGCTAAGTCGTTCTTAAACCTCTGTGTTGCACATGTCACACACCTGTCACCCATGAATGGCTTTCTTTCTATAGCTGCCTGATGTCACTTGACCTTGTTTTCCTCCTAGCTCGGCTCCACGTTCCAGGGCACTCTCTAGCCATCAGTCATTTCTGCAGGACTTCCCCCCACATCTGCTCCGGTCCTGTGTGAGAGAATGTGGGACAGTGCTTTGAAAACTGCGGAGGGTTACGACGCGGACAGAGGGCACGAAGGCTCTCTTGGCCATTCCACATGAGGATGCGTGCAGCGGTGGCCCCTCCACCCGCAGCCGTGGCCACATGTTCCTCCTCAACCCCGTGGTTGCGGATTTTCCGAATTCTTCCAGGATGAACCTTCCCAGGGAGCGCACCTCCCTCCTCTCCGAGACCCTGTGACACATGGGTCAATAGGACGTATCCCCTGCCCTTGAGGAGGCCACAGCTTGGGACACATGTCCCTTCCTACTTGCTCTATATTCCCTTACCCAGCATGAACTGGGTCTCCTCCCTCTAGAGGTCCCACTACCTTCCAGGGGCGAAGCTTGGTGGCCTCCTTCTGGGCTTGGTCCTGCTTGACTTGTGTGACCCCAAATGCACTTGCTGGGCTGTGAAGCATTGGAATTTTAGTCCCGGTGTCCATCAGCCCCGTCCCCTCTGCTCTCTTTTCAGTTACTAGTCTTCCTTCCTAAATCCAAGCATGGGAGTTATGTTCCTGGGCTCCAAAGCCTTCCATGGCTCTCCTTTCCGTATGGGGCATATGACCAATCTTATTTTTAGCATGACACCCCCTTCCCATCTTTTCCGTTGGCTTCACTCTGTGTTCTGTCAACAACAGCATTTTGGGCCTGGGTCCTTGCCCAACCCATACGCTTGGTCCCTAAGTTCCCACCTCCTGAATTGCCCCTCCTCTTCACCTCCCCGACCCCTACCACAGACTTCTATCCATTCTTCAAGGTCCAATAAAAAATTCATACTATTGCCTCTTCCCTGACCTCCATACAAAGAGAAGTTTTTGCACCTAATGCCCTTTTACTCCAATCGTACTGTACTGTGTGTAAGGCAATGCAGTTATTTTCACATTTACTTATCTTTTTCACTGAATGTGGGCCTAATTAATTCATTTAACCTACTCTCTTTTTGTGCCTGGCATTTAATAGATACTTAATAAAAGTCTGCCAAATATAAATGAGTCACTTAACTTTCCCCTTCCTCCGAGTGACCGCAAGCTTCCCAGGGGCGGCCATGATGACTTTCCTCTTTGTTTTCTTCATCGAACTCAGCTTAGTGCCTGCCACATGGTAGATGCTAAGGAAATGCTGAAAGTGGTAACATACAATATAGATTTAGAAAGGCCTGAATAAAGCAACATACAAAATTCACCTGGCAACATTCCAAGTTAGTGGGTGAGGTGGGAGAAAGATGGGGTCATTGCCCATGTTTTGGGTGAAGAACCTGAAGAGCAGGGAAGGTACATGGTGGGCACCCCTCTTTGACTTTCTAGCTGTACCTCTTACTCTGCTTCTCTGGACACTTCTGAGTCTTGCCTCAGGAGTGTCCCTGCTGACCCACCTTGAAGAAGTCTCAGGACCTGGGCAGAGCCAAGGGCTCTTGCCACCTGAGCGTCCCCACTATGGGGTCTATGTAAGTAGACCCCAGCATCTGCCACCTATCTCCCCCAAGAAGGGCAGGGGTCTTTCCAGTCCCACAGCTCTGTTTCTGGTGCACTGGACACCAAGGTGGACTCAGATGCAGTCCAGCTCACCCATCAGGGCAGTGGGCACTTATTAAATCTCCATTACAAAGCATTGGTTCATATTTTTGAGTTTCTTTTTTTTTTATTCACTCAGCAACATTTGACAGGGTTTCTGCTGCTATGTGTCAGGCATTCTGCAAAGCAAGCATACGGTGATGGGTAAAGTGAACATGGTCCGTCATCTCAGGGGCTCCCAGATCAGTAGGGGAGGCCGACGGACACTCACGCATTTGCTTATACCTGACTGCCACGCACTGGGGTGCTCTGCAATGGAGGTGCGGCCAAGTGCACAGGCCATGAAGGAGGGGCTGAGCTGGGGCTGGGGCTGGGGTGTGACTTGGCTCCCAGGGCCTGTTGTCCGGACTGGATGGTTCAGGACAGCCAGGTCAGGGGGACGAAAGGAAGCACAGAGGAGGCTGATGGAGGAAATGCTTCAAAGAAGAGGAAATACGCAGAATGTTCTATTCTCATCCCACTGGCAAGATGTAATTTCAGGTAGCTTTCTGTTCCTTTATTCCCAGCTCTTCCTGGTTCATTTTGTTCCCCTTCCCTGAGGAGTTTACCCATCTTTATTTTCTGTACATGCCCAAAGGCAGAAAAACGTGCCAAATATGCACGCGCACATGCACCACAGTGTGGCCTCTGCTCCAGTTTCCAGAGTGTCTGATTCAGGGAAGGTGAGGGCTTGTTTTCTGAGCTCTACTGCTGCTTCTGGGGGCAGCTGCTCTGCCACCCCCCGTGAGTGAGGTTTTGTTCTTACTGAAACAGTAGAAAACAAATGAATAGAGGCAAGAAAAACATGGGAGTTCAAGCAAACAGAAGGAAGGAGAGAGTTCAACTGTTTTGTCATGGCAGTTATGCATCCAAGTGCCTAGCTAGCGATTACCTGGAAAAAAATCTGCCCTGCCTGATGGTTGCATTCTGCTTTCGGACTGGTCCAGTTAGTATAAAAATTGAAACCATCATTAAAGTTAAAATGGCAAATGTCGATTTCCTTATTTTACAGATTTCACAACTGAGGCAGAAGAGGAGTTAAAATGTAGTAGTGCAATGAAGAGGCAGAGCAAAAGTCACTGTGCTGTTTCTTGGAACTATTTCTGCCTAACCAGTTACCATTTCTCAAGCCCTTGGAAAGCATGCCAGCAGCTGTCTGCATAAGCAGCAACAGGCTGAGCAGCCAGCACTGGGTGTTCTGGTCTTTGAGCAGAATGCTGAGCAGTTTTTACTGTTATCTCTTTAATTAGTTCTTATTTGCTTTTGTTTTAAGCAGTGCCTTTTGGTGGAAAGTGCACTGAACTAGGAGTCAGAATATTTGCGCTAGTCTTACCAGGCTACAGATAACTACTACCTTTGGGAGGCATTTGAATCTTTACCCAAGAGAGGAGAAGTAATTAAATCAAGCTCTTTAAAGGTTCTTCCTAATTCCAAGAGCCTGAGTTTTAGACCAGGGATTGGCAAGCTATAGTCTACCACCTGTTTGTGTAAAAAACACTGAGTGGTTTTTACATTTTTAATGGTTGAAAGGAATCAAAAGAAGAATGATATTTTGTAATCTATGAAAATGATTTGACTTCCAGTTCAGTGTCAATAAATAAAGTCTTATAGGAACCTGGACATATTCATTTGCATAATGTATACTTCTGCACTGCTTCTGGGCTGTGATGTGGCTACCGGGTGGTCTGCAAAACCTAAAATGTTTACTCTCTGGTCATTTACAGAAAAAAAGTGCTGATACCTGTTGGCCACAGCACAACATAAGTACACTTCCTGCATTTATGAAAACAATAGTAGTTGAGTTACTATGAGAATTAAATGAGATAATGAATGAAAAATAGAACATCAAAAGCATGTGTATATATTCATAATTCAGTTGACACTGAGGAAGGATATCATATACATTAATACCCATCTACTGGGGGTTGCTGGTTGGAGAAGGAACAAAACTTTATCAATAGTCTGTTCAAAAACAAGTAATATTTTTATTCAGCAGGGTTGAAAATGTCTGGGATAGGACCACAGATGTGTGAAAGTATATGCACATCTAGAAGGGAAAATAACAAGACTTACTTGCTAGATTGCTGCGATTCCAGATGAGATTTTTAATGCCTCAGCTATTTAAACTACTGTTTTAAAATAAATAAGAGAGAAGGGAGAGTGTCCAGCCAATCTTACTTCAATACTTAGGATGAAAAAAAGTTTTTTTTCTATTGCCCAAGTGAATGTTGAACTGTATTGGGTGTGATCTAGTTGTCTGTATATTCCACATTAAGTTCTCTACAGGCAATACTGTCACAAAAAATTGAGAGATGTAAAGAGTCAAGTACTGAAAACAATGTAATTTTAGAAAAGTACAATAGCCATGATTTATAGGTTTTGTTACAATAATATTAGAATAGCCTGTCACCTGTTAGATAGCTCATCTTTTATGTAAGTGTTTAATAAGAAAAGCAAAATTCTACTTGTTTCAATTAACTTAATCAGAGAGCCAGGAGAAAAAAAACGAACATTTTAAATGGGGTTGAGTCAATTTTCAGGTTTGGCAAAATACACAAGGATTGAAATTTTTCATAAGGGGTCCAGAGCTTCAGTATGCCAAAGAATCATCTAGAAATAGCAGAACTTGGATTTTGAATCTTATTTTCTAATAGTCATTGTCTAGGAAGTTTCCAGATTAACTTAGTTAATGCCTGTGGTGTATCATTAGCATTCTTTCCCCATCACTGTGATCAGCTGTTCGGTGAACCAGAAGGGTTTGCCACATGGACACAGCCTTATGAGCCATGAACAAGCTTCAGGCAGGAAGTGGGGTTGCGCCCCTATCTTTCCTGAGGTGGGCACAGAATGATCTAGACAATGAACTCCCAGGAGGCTGGGGCAACAACTCCTGGGCTGGGGACATGGCTTCGGTATTAGCAATGGGGCCTTGGGCAAGCCACTTAATCCTGCTGCCCCTTGACTTCCTCATCTCCAAAGGCAGATAGATGGTAGTACAGCTTACCTCGTGGACCTGTGAATACTGACCAGGAAAATCCATGGAAAAGGGTTAACATACGGTGTCTAGTGTACCGTCCTCTTCCAATAAATTAGCCATTCTTATTATCATGGGCCATAAGGTAGCTAAAAAGCAAAAGCAAGCTAAATATTTCTTGGTGGTGGGCTTTGAGCAAATGCTTTTGCATTTTCTGCCAGCGCTGGCTCAAGCAGTAACTGCAGGCTGTTCAGCTCATTGGCTGGGGAGACATGAAAGCGTCTGGCAGAATTTATGATCAACTTTAAGTCTTTGCGGAGTGCCTTAGGCAGAAGCTCTGCCTTGGCTTTAGCACTTGATGAGTGATTTTTTTTTTTTTACGCTAATATCTATCCAACGAAATGATGAAGTACACACTGGTCATTGGATGTGCCAGCAATGGTCAATAAACAATGACAAAGGATCTTTCTCATTCTCACGATAAACACTGTTGCTCCTTCTCACCATCTCCTTGACAAACACCATCTGGAGTTCACTTTCACGGAGCGGCAGCTCACTGCCATGAGGCGGGATGAAACCAGTGGCTTCCTGAGGATTTATCTGTGCCTTTTTTTTAAAAAAAGCATGGGAACTGAAGGGGCCCTGTGTTTGGACTCAGGATTCTAGTGGCTCCCTTCCCAAGCTGACTTGGGAGACAACTTTGGGTAATGATTTATTATTAAAATCTTGACTCTCTGTCATCTCAGCTTCTTACTTTTGCATTAAAGGAGGGGCTCCCAGGAGGCTGGGGCAACAACTCCTGGGCTGGGGACATGGCTTCGGTATTAGCAATGGGGCCTTGGGCAAGCCACTTAATCCTGCTGCCCCTTGACTTCCTCATCTCCAAAGGCAGATAGATGGTAGTACAGCTTACCTCGTGGACCTGTGAATACTGACCAGGAAAATCCATGGAAAAGGGTTAACATACGGTGTCTAGTGTACCGTCCTCTTCCAATAAATTAGCCATTCTTATTATCATGGGCCATAAGGTAGCTAAAAAGCAAAAGCAAGCTAAATATTTCTTGGTGGTGGGCTTTGAGCAAATGCTTTTGCATTTTCTGCCAGCGCTGGCTCAAGCAGTAACTGCAGGCTGTTCAGCTCATTGGCTGGGGAGACATGAAAGCGTCTGGCAGAATTTATGATCAACTTTAAGTCTTTGCGGAGTGCCTTAGGCAGAAGCTCTGCCTTGGCTTTAGCACTTGATGAGTGATTTTTTTTTTTTTACGCTAATATCTATCCAACGAAATGATGAAGTACACACTGGTCATTGGATGTGCCAGCAATGGTCAATAAACAATGACAAAGGATCTTTCTCATTCTCACGATAAACACTGTTGCTCCTTCTCACCATCTCCTTGACAAACACCATCTGGAGTTCACTTTCACGGAGCGGCAGCTCACTGCCATGAGG